TAAGTGTGAAGACAATGTGTTACTTTCTCGAAGGTACTTATTTCATACATTCATAGTATTAATGACTAATGTCTAGCTGGATGTTATTAGAAATAATGAACACTTACTCTAGGAGTTTTGGATTATATGATTGAGATGAATTTACACCTGCCCAAACTCAAAGGGTTATATCAGGCGGGTTCTGTTTAGTACAAATTTTTCAGACTCAGACATAATGCTCTTCCAGATTTCCTCACATGCACGTTTTTACTCAAGGGTTTACTTGCGTCTTTGCATTCAGTTGTAGTGTTAAATACACTAAAAGACCTACAACTTAACTCTATTCTAATCTCTGCATTTTTGCTATGACATCACTTCATGGAAGACACTGAGGTCATAATACCTAGCAAGGAAGGAAAAGAAAATACAAGGATAAAAATTAAGAATAATTCAGTAATCTATACCTAGGAACCTACCAGAAACATTTAAGAATGGGCATCCAAAAATCATGCCTTAATGTAATCATCAGAATCCACACAGATTTTAAGTAAAAAATAATTTTACGTTGAATTCTGTTTGGTAGAAAAGATTATCCAGGATTCAAGTCCAGCCTCTATAGCCATTCAGCCAAGAACAATAGCACACATACAGGTCCAGCATCTGAAGTGAAAACTTCACAGCTACTACTACTTGGAACCAAAATCTCTGGATCAAATGCCAGAAAATCCACCAATATCAACTCTGAGGACCAGAATACCTCTATGTTTATATTTAAAGTACACAAATTCCTCCATGATTAGTAGCATCACATCTGCTTCTAAGTCTGACAGAGGTTCATCTTCTTGACAAGCTCTAAATATCTTTGTAAGGGTCTGGGAATGAGGGTGTCTGTCTTCTATATTGAAAGTAGAACTTCATGCATGGGAAAATGTCCTTCCACATTAAGGTCATCCAATCCAGTCAGGTGGGTCATGGGCGCAGGCTGGCCACATTATGGTGGGAGCTAAGACTCTCATTACTATTTTCATGCACATCAAATACACTATTTCTAATGTTTAACTTTGCTGTGGTCTCTTAGTATTCTTTATATTTTTTCCTTCACTGATTTCAAGTTGTACACTTTATTAACATGCTTAAAGTTATGCTTTACTTCCAAGCATCATACTTAAGAAAGTCTTAAAAGGACTATAGAGAAGTATCTTTAACAAAAATGGGAAAGAAAGAGTCTTAATGGATGATCCCTCACCTAAAAATGAAAATGTGGTTAAAACTACCAAAACCAACTTTATCAGAACTCTGAAAAATATTCAAGGCCAAATGCAGAAGAGTGAAATTCAATGTCTATATCTCATCATATAAAAAATTTCTAAGTCATATCTGGGAGCTAAATATTAAAACAATGGATCTCATGGAGACAGAGAGTAGAATGATGGTTACCAGAGGCTGGGAAGGAGAGCAGGGATAGGGAAAAAGTAGGGCTTGTTAATTGGTGCAAAAATATAGTTAGATGGATGAACAATATTTGTTAGCACAACAAAATGACTATAGTCAACAATAAGTTATGGTATACTATAAAATAACTAAACGAGTAGAATTGGAATGTTCCTAACAGGAAGAAATGATAAATGCTTCAGGTGATAGATACCCTAATTACCTTGATTTTGTTATTACATATGATATGCCTGTATCAAAAGATCACATGTATACTATAAATATAGAAAGCTATTATATATACATAATAATGAAAAATTATAAGTTTAAAAAAAATAATAAAATGTTTACCATGAACCAGGCTCCAAAGACAGATGACACAGATGTAAATGAAAGATTTATTTTTCCTGTTCTAAATATGCCAGTGCTAAAATGGATACAAGCATTCAAGAAACACAGCTTCCTAATGTGAAATAGAGATTCCCGACCCTTGATGTGCATACATATCACCTAAGCATCTGGCCAAAGGTAAGGTTCTGTTTCAGTAGGTCTGAGGCAGGGCCTGGGAATCTGCTTTAGTATCAGGCTTCCGGGTAATGCTAATACCATTGATGAGGCAAATAATTATTAATAGACATTCTCAGAATTACACAACATAAAAATGTTTACTTTCCCCAAATGCAGTGAATATCATCATTTGTTCAGTATTTGTAGGACTGAAGGCCTGGTGCTGACCTATATTAATGGCATTAGCACTGGGGATCTGTCCTGCTTGAAGAATGTAGTTGTGGCCTTGGCCTGGATAGAGAATTTAGATATAATGCAAAAGATTATTATCTACTATGAAGTGCCAGAAGGTGCAGCTTATCACAGAAATCTCATTGGAGCTGCCAGACCTACACAGAGCCAACGAGAGAGAGGCCATCAAAGTTTGCATTAGGAGTCCTTCAAAGATGTAGATCATTAGGACATTGACTTGCAATTAACAATAAATAAATAAATTGTAGATCATTTATTTCAAAAAGATTACTGGTAATATATACCCAAGTTTACATGGGATTGGATGTCGCTATGTCTTGAATGTGGCCCTCAGTGTTTATGTATTGGAAACTTAATTCCAAATGTAACACTGTTGAGATGTGGGAAATAAACCTCTCTTCTTAAAAATTACTCAGTCTCAGTTATTCTGGTATGGCAGAACAAAGAGTAAAACAGATAGCAAAGTACTATTAAGAAATGAAATGAGTATTTCTTTTGAAAGAAACAATTCTTGCTAGATTTTGAATTTGCGACTCCCTATTTGTAATCATAATAATCAGAAGAAAAATTGTATTACATGGATTCAACATTTTGAAACACATTTTAGTTCATGAACTAATAGTGTTGCCTTTAATTAAAGAAATACATGTGGCAGATAGAGCTGATGATACTTTGATTGCATACCTACTATTATCAGACTAATTTGCTATCACACTAAAAAAAGCAAAGAAATTTATAGTTTTAGTTTTCTGTAGCAGGCTCACATTATGCCACATCTATTCCATCAATAGCAATCTTTAGCTTTATTATTTTGAAAAGCAGAAATTTACATATATAAGTGTGGCATAAAACTAGGAATCTATGCTGTGAACATCATCTCCAAGGAGAAAACAACTTTAGAAAATAGTTTGAATCAAGAGAAAAGATACAGTTTTGTTGAATTGTCTATAAGTTTTTGGGTACATGGAGTTTTTGAGAAGCATTTTCAGAATGCTCATCACAGCATCAAAAGAATCTGGAAGGGTTTTAACAAATGCATAAACATCATTTTTTCTTTTGAGACACAATCTCACTCTGTCACCCAGGCCAGAGTGTAGTGGCATCATGATAGCGCATTGCAACCTCAAACTCCTGGGCTCAAGTGATCCTCATGCTTCAGCCTTCCGAACAGCTGAGACGGCAAGCCAGTATAGCATGCCTGGATAACTCTACTTTTTGTAGAGATGGGGTCTCGCTCTTGCTCAGGCTGATCTTGAACTCCTAATCTCAAGCAATCATCCCACCTTGGCCTCCCAGAGTGCTAGGATTACAGGCGTGAGCCATGGCGCCCGGCCTAGCAAACTTCCTTTAAAATGTAATAATTTCCACTAAACTTTCAAAATAGTAGCAAATGTTCTTCAAGACATTAAAAAGTGGTTTCATATTTCATTTACATTGAATCAAATAAACTTAAACCTTCTTAGGCTTATGGAGTCTTCCACATATTTTGAGAGTTCTTGATATATTCATCCAGTTGAAAAACCTTATGTTATTAATAAATCTGTCTTGGTGAAAACATTTTAATAACTAAACACCATATGCTGACTTTTGGTTCTGGAATGGACTAATCAGAAGATAATAACATTTTGAACAGTTTTCAAAATTTGAATAGTGTTTATTATCACAGGAACAAATATATACCTAAGTAGTCCCAAAATAGAGTGCCAACACTCCCTCAACTTAAAAAGCTTGAAAATGACAGCAAAGGATATCATAAGTCCTTAATTAAAATCCTATCATTTCACAACAAAGTAGGTAGTATATATCAATAGAAAATAAATGATATTATTTGCTTCTTATAGTCACTTGTCAATGTTACACTTGCTAGGAGTGGTAGAAAGCTTTTGTTACATATCAGTGTACCCACTGAAAGGGATAGGTCAGAAATCTAGATTTTTAAAAAATAAACTACAAAAAAATGGTCTAACAAAACCTTTACATAAATATAATGTGGGGCCAAGTGCAGTGGCTTGAGCCCAGGAGTTTGAGGTTGCTGTGAGCTAGGCTGATGCCACAGCACGCTAGCCCAGGCAAGAGAGTGAGACTCTGTCTCAAATAAAAAGGAAATATACTAAATTAATTCCAGTGAGATACATAATTTTTCATTCTTATAACTCTATAACTATTGGCTTTTCTACCTCTTTGTCATATTATTATATATATGAAATCTATACAGGTTTAAACATAATAATAATGTTTTACTTATTAATTTATATAATTTTATGACTTCTAAAGAAGCTAAAGGAGTAAATAGAGCTTGTTATATTAACATTTAGAGCTTGTTATGTTAACTTTCCTACAATTTCAGATTCTCTTCATGCATTCATGTGGGTTCAAGTTGACATCTGGTATGATTCCTTTATTCCAATACAGCTTTGCTTCCACCTACTTTCTTTGTGCTATTGTTACTAAGTATATTACATTTCTGTATATGACAGGCCCTGAAATACAATTATATACATATTGTTTCATACAATTGCTTATTAAAATTGGTTAAGAGTAGAAATGAAAAGTTTCTGTTCATGTCTTTTGCCCACTTTTTAATGGGGTTGTTTTTTCTTGCTGATTTGCTTGAGTTCTTTCTAGATTCTGCATATTAGCCTTTTATTGAATGTATAGCTTGTGAATATTTTTTTCCATTCTGTACGTTGTCTGTTTGCTCTGTTGATTATTTCCTTAGATGTTCAGAAGCTTTTTAGTTTAATCAAATCCCATTTACTTATTTTTCTTTTTGTTGCTGTAATTACAGCTGAGTTCTTAGTCATAGATTCTTTTTTTTTTTTTTTTTTTTTTACTGTGTCCCAGGCTTCTTTATTTAAGAACAAAGTGATGAGTGATGTGGGGATTAAAATCAAGAGCATCATTGAACTTCACCCTCCTTCCAACCAGCTCCCCCAAACTCCCTGCCCCACCCCTTGTGTTCTCAATTCCTTCCTTTGTGATTGAAGAACGTAATCCCAAAAGCCCTGATACAAACTCCAGGTTCTCCCTTCCTGAGCTCCTTCCCTTGCCCGGCCCCCCCATTCCTAGAAGGGCAGGCACCTCAGTTTGAATGCATGGGAGAGCCCAGAGTGGTGACAGAGACAGAGGGAAAGGCTTCCCCCTCAGGGAAAGGGACCGAGGAGTACAGGGTGGTAAAGTGAGGGCTCCCATAGCCTGGGGTACCAAAACGGGGCCCAGGGGCCAGGGGAAAGGACACTGGCCCCTGAGAAAGGAGACCCGGCAGCCTCACTCCTCCCCGTTGTGAATAGTCACCGCTGGATCGCTTGCCCTTCTGGCGCCGGTTACAGAACCACACTCGGACCACATCCTTCTCAAGCCCAAGCTGCTGGGCGATGTGGCTGATCTGCTGCAGGGTGGGTTTGGGGCACTGCAGGAACAAGTTCTCCAGGTTGCCTCTCACTCGGTTCTCGATACTCGTTCTCTTTCTCTTTCGGGCCTGCACTAGGGTCTCTGCTTTGCATATCTCCTGAAGATTTTCATTGTTGTCAGCTTCCTCCACCCACTTCTGCAGCAGGGGCCGCAGCTTACACATGTTCTTGAAACTGAGCTGCAGAGCCTCAAAACGGCAGATGGTGGTTTGGCTGAACACCTTCCCAAAGAGAACCCCCAGGGTGAGCCCCACGTCGGCCTGGGTGTACCCCAGGGTGATCCTCTTCTGCTTCAGGACCTTGGCAAACTGCTCGAGTTCTTTCTGCAGAGCTTTGACATCCGGGGACTCCTCAGGGCTTTGCTCCAGCTTCTCCTTCGGCTTCCCGGCCGCGGGCGGGGCGGGGCGGGGCGGGGCGGGGGGGGGCGGGGCAGGGCTGGGGGGAGGCCCCCTCGGAGCTGCTCTCCACTCTCGGGCTGGGGGGTCTCCAGGCCGCCCTGGGGCACGAGCCCCACTCCGGCCTGAGGCGCGCAGTACGCCATCCCGCCACACAGCTCGTACGGCGGAGGGCACGGGGGACCCCCCACACCTCGGAGCCGGGCCGACCCCCGGCCCGATTCCTGGCCCTCCCCGAGGGCTTTGGAAGCTTAGCCAGGTCCGGGGGTCAACCCAACCCGGCTCCGGCCCTCCTGTCCCCTCGCCTCCACCGCCTGACGGGGGCGAGAAGGCAAAATCCGAAGCCAGGTGTCCCGCCATGGGGTAGGAAGGCGCCCCAAGCCGGGGGCCCGGTGAAGTGAGGGCTCGCCCGGGGACTGATCAGCACCTCTCTCCCTCCCCAATCCCACCCACTAAGTCATAGATTCTTTAACTAGGCTGATATCTAGAAGAGTTTTCCCTACATTTACTTTTAGAATTCTTATGGTTTCATTTAAGTCTTTTGTCCACCTTGAATTAATTTTTGTGAGGGGTGAGAGATAGGGGTTCTCTTTCATTCTTCAGTATGTGGCTATCTAATTTTCCCAGCACCATTTATTTATAGGGCTTCTACAGAAGCTTTCGAACAAAAGACAGACAAATGGCCAACAAAGATTTAAAAATGCTCAACATCACTAATGATCAGGGAAATGCAAATTAAAACCACAAGGAGATATTAGCTAACTCCAGTTAGAATGGATTTTATTAAAAATTCCAAAAACAACAGATGCTGGCATGGATGCAGAGATATAGGAACCCTTATATGCTGTTGCTGGGAGTACAAATTAGTGTACTCTATAGAAAACAGCATGGAGATTTCTCAAGAACAAAAATAGACCTACCATTCAATCAGCAATCCCAGTACTGGGTATTCACCCAAAGGAAAAGAAGTCGTCTTAACAAAAAGACACCCGCACTAAAATGTTTACTGCACCACAATTCACAATTGGGAAGATGTAGAATTAACCCAAGTGTCCATGAATTCATGAGTGGATTAACAAAATGTGGTATATGTATACCAGGGAGGACTACTCATCCATAAAAGGGAGCAAATTAATGCCCTTTGCAACAATTTGGATGGAACTAGAGATCAGTATCCTAAGTGAAGTATCTAAAGAATGGAAAAACAAACATCACATGTACTCACTATTTAATTAGAACTAACCAATGAAGATATATGTGCACAACGGGAAGTAAAAACTCAGTGTAAATCTAGTAAGTGGAGGGGGAGCTAAGGAGGGACAGAAACCTACCAAACAGGTACAGTGTGCACAATATGGGTGACGTGCACACTTATAGCCATCAATCAAACATTACAGAAGCAATCCCTGTCACCAAAAACATTTGTACTCTTTTAATATTTTGATATAAAAAATTATTAAAAAATAAAAGCAACAATTAAGGAATTGTCACAATACAGTATATTAGCATTTTGTAGTCATAATATTAAAAAGCCTGTGGAATTCCAGTGTTAATTTATTTATATTGTAGTGTAACTTAAATATGTACAATCATAAACCAGTTATACTTCATATGCATATACCTTTTTTTTTTGACACAGAGTCTCGCTTTGTTTCCCAGGCTAGAGTGAGTGCCGTGGCATCAGCCTAGCTCACAGCAACCTCAAATTCCTGGTCTCAAGCAATCCTACTGCTTCAGCCTCCCGAGTAGCTGGGACTACAGGCATGCGGCACATGCCCAGCTAATTTTTTCTATATATATTAGTTGGCCAATTAATTCCTTTCTATTTATAGTAGAGACGGGGTCTCGCTCTTGCTCAGGCTGGTCCAAACTCCTGACCTTGAGCAATCCCCCTGCCTCGACCTCCCAGAGAGCTAGGATTGTAGGTGCGAGCCACCACACCCAACCTGCACATAGCTTTTACATAGCCCTAAAGCCAGAACAAATTTATAAATTAAATAGGAGTAAAATAATCCACATACTGCAATAAAAAGAAAGGAGAAAGGAGAAGAAATCTGCCGTTATGCTATCTTTTATACTTACATCATTCCCTTACTGGTGCTACTTGTTTCACCATGTGGATTTGTATTACCATCCCTGCTCTCTTGCATTCTGCCTGGAAAGCTTCTTTTAGTCTTTCTTGTAGAGTAGATCTGCTAGCTAGAAATTCTCTTCAAGTCTCTAGACTTGAACTTTGCCCCACATATGAGTTTCCAAAAAAAGTCACTTCCTTTGGGAAGAGCTTCAGAGCTCTCTGATTGTATGGACTGCCTCATTCTTTGGGCAAAATCTCTGAGCCACGGCTCCTTCCAGTGGGCAGGGGTGGTGGCCTCCAGTCTGTTCTGCTTGTCTCTCCCAGCATTGACACTCTACCCTGCAAGTGGACCAGAGCAAGCATGGTCAGACCAGGTGTTCCCCACCTGTCACACTTGGGCCAAAGTCTGGCCTCTGTGGCTGGGGCTGGGGAGAGATTGGGAGTACTCCACATCTGGCCACACCAGGAATTTAGTCTCTACAAGTTGGTGTTGGAGTGGATGACCTGTCCCTCCTTATGGTGTATCTTATTACTTCCCTCCTGGAAGATGAGGTTAGACAGAGCCGTGTCTTTTTGGCCATAGCCCTCAGTAGTGAACTGGAGACAGAGAGAAAGAGGGTCATGGCTTGACTCACACAGACTCTTGCTATTCCTACCAGAATGTTGAGAGATCTTCTTGAATAGATGATTCGTTTTGATGTATGTTTTTATGTGTTATGATGAATGTGTTATGTATGTGAAAATTTGTTGAGATTTTAAATGGCTCAAATAATTTTGACAAGTTTGGCAATTTTGAAGTAAAAATGATACTTTGAAAAAAATAAGTTAAATTACTTTACAGTACCTTTATCATGATGAAGCTTAGGTATAAAGGAAGGATAGGAACAGCTGGAATAAAGTTATTCTATAGTAAGTTAGTAAAAAACCCCCAATAATCTGTATTATATATGCATATCATACATAATTTTAAATGTATATCTAATGAAACTAACAAGTAAATGCTTTATGTTGGCATTTTACCATTTCTTTTACACTTCTAAATATTTTAATGTTCAAATTGGAAAAACATATGGGGTTCATCTCATATTCAGATTCATTTTATATTCTGTCACCTATAATACCATTGAGCTTCCACTTTACACCTAGCACTGTTCTAGAAGCAGGTGATACATCTGTGAATGCATAATATTCCTAATATCAAGAACTTGGATTTCAGGTTGCCATAAAGGAATTGAAATAAAAGATCGAGATGATATGGGGGAGATTGAAATAGGGGTCACTGCACACCTCTCTGAGAAGATGCCATTTAGCTGAGACATGAAGAACAAGAAGGAGCCAACATTGCCAATAGCAGGGTAAGAACGTTTCAGATGCAGGAGAAATGGCAGTTCTAAACCAAATTAAAGTACTACTTATCCATAGATATTTAAAAAGCTATGGAAAAAGACTAAAAGAAAGGAGACTGTATGTCTTCGTTTGTCAAATTTCGGACACTATCTTCGAGGTGTAGAACAAGACCACAGTATACAAGACTCTGTCACAGCTAAAAATAGAAAAAATTAGCCATGTGTGGTGTCACACACCTGTAGTCCCAGCTATTCAGGACGCTGAGTCAGAAGGATCTCTTGAGCCCAGGACTTTCAGGTTAAAATGAGCTAGCAGGACACCATGGAACTCTAGCCAGGGTGACAGAGTAAGATCCTGTTTCAAAACAAACAAACAAACAAAAAAACACAGAGCATAGTAGGATCATCAAAAAAACCTTACAAATCTCTCCTTTACTCCTCTCTTTTGTATTCTTTCTTTACAAAAGCAATGAGGAGAGAAAGAACAGCATAAAGTTTAAAGTTCAAGAAAGTTGAAAATTTGCATCCCACCTTTATGACTTGGCTAGTGAATTTGGGCAGGGATATTCTCACCTTACCCCATCCTCCTTGTCTTAACTGTAAAATAGACACAATCCATCTCTTTTGCATGATTTTAATCAGAACTGAATTAAACAGGTAACATATGTAGCTCTTGGAAAATAATCAGTAAGCAAGAGTCATTATTTTTATAATTATTCACTCAGTAAACAGAGTGAGGCAGCATAGAGAGGTGGTTGAGACTAATTGGTTTCACATCACTTGCAGTGTTATGATTTTGGACAACTGATAACATCTATCTCTGCCCTGTTTTGTAGACAATGATGGGGAAATACTTATGAGACACAAGCTGAGTAACCGGGATAATAGCAGTTTGCATTGAGGCTGGAACAGGTTACAATACGTAGAGCTGCGTGCTGACTGTGTACTGGGCATTATGTGCCGGGTGCTGGGTTGGGTGCTCAGTTTTCACGAATGTGTAGGACATGCTCTTTCCCTCACTTGCTGCATCTCTACATGAATAACCAGGTCTATTTTGAGTGTGTTCTTTATTTTGGAAATTAAACCTAAAAAATATAAGGCCTCCTCATTCTAAGATTCTCACACTGACCCCCAATCCTTAGATACATTCCATTATATTCAAATCTAATGGGCATTTTTTAACCAGCAAATGATCTCAAAGATCTCATTAAATAAAATCTCTGAACCTTTTGGTTGAGAAATCATTTTAACTCTCCCACTAAACACAGCTCTAGAGATTCCTTTTATGGTTTCTTGACTTACTGCCTGGGACAAAGTACTTTCAGTTTCTCATTGCTGTAAATCCCATGCAGAGCTTGCTTACTTGTAATTATTTTGACATTGGCAGACATCCAAAATATCCCGTGACATTGAGGGGCGAAATAAAAGTCCGAGGATCCAGTCAGAGTCAGAGAAGTGCGAGAAATCACTCCCTCCGAACTGAGGAAAGAAAACAGGTAAGAACTTTTACTACTCTTCATCAAAGCAGCTATCTCTGCACCTGTAAAGGGCCTCTGCTCAGGGACATGGAGCCT